TGGGCGTGCATGTCCGAGTGCCCAGAGCAAGAACGAAACGACAACTCAAAAAGAAGAATCTTTTAATAAAATCACTGCGAAAATCCTAACAAACTCCAAAGGGCGAGATGCCCATCGGCACGTTTATAAAAGCATTTGGTCCTCGGGCAAAGGCTTGCTTTTCATTTAAACACTTCGTATTTACAGACTGCGCAGTCACCCACCGCCGCAAGCGTATTGCACGTCACAGAGAAGCGCTGGCGTCGGTCGCTCGGCTTTCCCAGAGCTCCTAACTCGCGATTTTGCAAAAACAGATTTACCTTTCTTGTGCATAATAAATAAAAATACAGCTTCTGTCTTGCTATTTAAAATTAGAACAAAATACCTTAAAAAATAGTTTTCTCTGCCTCAGAAAGAAGGGCAGGCACAGACGGGATGCGCGGGCCGACACGTCACCAGACTCACGCCCACATGCACGGGGGTGGCCCTGAGCCGCCCGAGCACCGCCCCCCACGCTCACGGGCTCCCCGCCCTGCAGGGAGAGGCACTGGAGAAGGGCGGGGTCGGGGATGGAGAGGAAGGGCAGGGCTGCGCCCCAGCCCGGCTCAGTCACGTGGGGCGACCCTCCGCGCCCCGAGGGCCAGCCCTCCTGGAGGGAGGGCGGCCGTGGCGGGTCTGCGGCGCCAGGAGCCCGAGTCCGGGGCCGCCTGCAGCCGGGAGGCCCCAGACTGAGGCGGCCGGTGCAGGAACAGGTCGGGGAGGACGGGGAGCAGCAGCCGGAACCGGGCGCCGAGGAGGAAGGCAGCAGGGCCGCTCGCCCAGGCCCAGCCCCGCCCACACTGCCCACGCCGCGTGGAGACAGGTTCTGGGGCTCAGGGGTGTACAGGCTAAGCCGCCCATGCGGCCCGGACTCAGGGCCTCCCTGGAAGGCCACTTTCAGCAGCAGGTCTGCAGCCCCCTCAGAGCAGGACCCAGGCGCCCGCCCGACCCGCGGTGTGAGGAGGGCGCAGCTCCCGGCGGCCCCACGGCGCTGCCCTCAGAAGCAGGTCGCAGGCCGAGCCGGAGCTGCCCCCGCCTTCCCCAGCCCCCCGGCAGGGCAGAAGCAAAGAGGCCGTCTGGACGCTGGCCCCAGACCTCTCCCTGG